CTCAGCCTCCCGAGTAGCTGGGACTACAGGCGCCCGCCACCTCGCCCGGCTAGTTTTTTGTATTTTTTAGTAGAGACGGGGTTTCACCATATTAGCCAGGATGGTCTCGATCTCCTGACCTCGTGATCCGCCCGTCTTGGCCTCCCAAAGTGCTGGGATTACAGGCTTGAGCCACCATGCCCGGCCAAAATGAGGGGTTTATTAGTTTAGAAGGAGAGGATAGATTTTGGTTGTGACTATCCAGCTTTGCACAATGCACGAGAAATCTTTTGCTTTGGGATCATACTGTACACCAGTGTTTCCCCTAGGGAATCTTATTAAAATGCAGTTTTGGTTCCGTAGTTCTGGGGTGTACATTCTGCATTTCCAACAAGCTCCCACTATTCTATTTCCTACCTCTATGAGATCAACTTTTTAAAAACTCCACAGATGAGTGAGAACATGCACGATGCCAATGCTGCAGGACCGTAGGGCACTCTGGAGTAGCCAGGCTGGACACAATACTCTGCAAGCTGATTTCCCACCCACTTATAGATCTAATTATTTTTAATGACTACTTAATATTCCATTGAATTGATGGATGTTGATGTATTACAATTTCATTATTAGTGGATAGTTATGCTTTTCCAGTTTTTCCTGTACACATAGTGCTGTGATAACTATTCATGAACATATATCCTTACCTATTGATGTTTTTATTTCTGTAAGACAGAATCCTACAAGTTATTTAGATGGTGGGCACCATCTAAATAAGCTCTAAAATTACGAAATTTTAGATATGTAATGTGATAATATTTTTTCTAGCATAAAATTAATAATGCCTTCAGTAGAAAATATTGCAAAGTGAAGAAAAGTTTGAAAGAAGAAAAGGAGACCACCTATAAAATCCCACTACTCAGTGATAACTACTGTTAACATTTTGATGCCAGGGTGGCAGGATAAAGGTTAAAATCTTGACTTTTTGTTTTATTTTGGTTTTTGTTTTTTTGAGACAGGATTTCACTCTTATTGTCCAGGCTGGAGTGTGATGGCACCATCTCAGCTCACTGCAACCTCCACCTCCCGGGTTCAAGTGATTCTCCTGCCTCAGTCTCCCAAGTAGCTGGGATTACAGGTGCATGCCACCAAGCCCAGCTAATTTTTGTATTTTTAAGAGAGATGGGATTTCACCATGTTAGCCAGGCTGGTCTCAAACTCCTGACCTCAGGTGATCCATCCGCCTTGGCCTCCCAAAATGCTGGGATTACAGGTGTGAGCCAGCACACTTGGCCAAAATCTTGATTTTGGAGTCAGACAAAACTGAGGCTTCACCCATGCCTTAATTGACTATTTACTAGCTGAGGATGTTCTAGAAAATCTCTCTGAACGTCAACTGTCTCATCTGTAAGAGGAATTAATAATGCTCCTATCTTATGAATGAACCCTGAGCAGTGCCTGAGATAGTCAGTGAGACCTTTTGTGCACGTATTTACAAAATTCACACTGAATTCTGTAATTATTTTTGTTTTTCTGTTTTTGGGCAATAATACATTTTATTAAGGTATTTTTTTCATGCCTACTTTCTATCTCTTGTATCATCCCCTGGTTGATTTCTTTCTTTTTAAAAAATTATTTAAAAAGTTACCACATAATAATTGTACATATTTGTAGGGTACTTGGTGATGTTTTGATGTATGCAATGTGTAGTGGTCTAATCAGAGTGTGATGATTAATACTGAGTGTCAACTTGATTGGATTGAAGGATACAAAGTATTGATCCTGGGTGTGTCTGTGAGGGTATTGCCAAAAGGAGACTAACATTTGAGTCAGTGGGCTGGAAAAGGCAGACCCACCCTTAATCTGGGTGAGCACCATCTAATCAGCTGCCAGCTTGGCTAGAATATAAAGCAGGTAGAAAACCGTGGAAAGACTAGACTGGCCTAGCCTCCCAGCCTATATCCTTCTCCCGTGCTGGATGCTTCCTGGCCTTGAACGTGGACTCCAAGTTCTTCAGTTTTGGGACTTGGACTGGCTTCCTTACTCCTCAGATGGCCTGTTGTGGGAACTTGTGATTGTGTGAGTTAATAATAAGCTCCCATATATATATATTATATATATAAGATATATATATGGATATAGGATATCTGTTCTTATCAGTTCTGTCCCTCTAGAGAACCCTGACTAATATACAGAGTAACCAGTATATTCATAACCTCAAACATTTATCATTTCTTTATCTTTGGAACATTCAAAATCTTCTCTTCTAGCAATTTGAATGTATATGATAAATTGTTGTTGGCTCTAGTCGCTCTATCGTGCTGTAGAATAGTAAAGCTTATTTCTCTTATCTAGCTATAATTTTGTATCCTTTAATCAACCTCTCCCTATGTTCCTTCCCCTCCTACCTTTCTCAGCCTCTAGTAACCACTATTCTACTTTCTATTTCTGTGAGAGTAACTTTTTAAAAGACTTCATATATGGCACTTTGGGATGCTGAGGCGGTGGATCCCCTGAGGTTGGGAGTTCAAGACCAGCCTGACCAACATGGAGAAACCCCGTCTCTACTAAAAATACAAAAAAATTAACCAGGCGTGGTGGTGCATGCCTGTAATCCCAGCTACTGAGGAGGTTGAGGCAGGAGAATTGCTTGAACCTGGGAGGTGGAGGTTGTGGTGAGCTGAGATTGATCCATTGCACTCCAGCCTGCGTGACACAGCAAGACTCTGTCTCAAAAAAATAAAATAAAAATAAAACATAAAAAGATTTCATGTATGAGTGAGAACATGTAATATTTGTCTTTCTGTGCCTGGCTTATTTTGCTTACCATAATGTCCTCCAGGTTCATCCATGTCAGGATTTTATTCCTTTTTGTGGCTGAATAGTTTTCCATTCAAATATATACCACACTTTTTTAACCATTCGTCTATTGATGGATGCTTAGGTTGATTGATATTTTGGCTACTGTGAATGGTGCTGCAATAAATGTGGGAGTGCAGATGCCTCTTTGATATACTGATTTCCTTTACTTTGAATAAATACCCAGTAGTAGGATTGCTGGATCATATTGAGTACTGTAATTTTAAATCCTGCTTGATTTTAATTGCATTAACTATCAACATTCCCACTCAACCTTAAAACTTTATAAACATCATTGCATGAACATACCATAATTTACTGTTGTTAGCTATTCAAGATTTTTTCCATTATGCATTTTCTCTTACAAATAAGGGATAAGGTGACATTTTTTACAATATAAACCTTTTTTCTGTAATTAGGTTGAAAAGGA